TTGTTGACTAAATTGAAGAATATCTGGAAAATTTCAGACTTTGTAAACAACCTTCCTTCTATAAGCAATTAGACGAAATAGCTGAATTTATCGAATATTGCAATCGTGATATACTTATTCCACGAGGACTATACGCGAAAAATCCCATTGAAAAAGGATTTCGTGTCGTGAGTTTTTATTTTGTTTTTTGAAATCTGTGTGACAAGAGGTTTTTGCCTTGAGTGGGGCAGAAATGAGGGATATGGTACGTAAGGTTGTGGGAGTTCTCAGAACCCAGTCCGCCCACTTGTAGGTGGATTTGGACACTTTGCTAGTCGCGGGGTGTCACGTAGGCACGATGGCTGGGGGCGGGTGGTTGTCACCAGTGTCACTGGTGGAGGGGCTGAGTGGGGTGTGACCAGACGCCCTCTCGCGGTTCTTCCACCAGTGACGCTAGCGACAAGCTCGCCTTCAGAAATCGTGACCACAGCCTTCAGGTCAGTTTCTTCTGAGCGCAACAACTTCTTTTTATAGGTGGTCTCTCTCGGTCCTACTGGAATTTAACTCCACTTAATAACTTAAATCCAATATAAATAGTTTTAATTTGGTAGTTGTTTAGCTGGAGATCTACTTGATATACGAGCCATATGATTCTAAGATGGAGGTCTGTCACGATGTTACGAAACCGCCGAAATTAGTACCTAGATTGTGAAATTAATTAAAATTAATTGTATGAAAAGTTCTTGCCCATGTCTATACTTGTTATATTCATACGCTGTCAATCTCAACTGTTCTACACACTGCTGCTGCCATAGAATCTTATATAGTTTATGCAGATTTAATCAGTTATAGTACAATGTATAATATTTCCGTCTATTTATTTACACTTCTAAGTGTATAGCTGTTTGACATATTTTTGTAAGCATAATGCTGTCAGTTCATCCCTCGTGTCCGATCGATTCTTTTTATTTCGTTTTACTGCTGACTGTACAAAAAAGAAAGTTGTTATATTTATTTACTAATAAGATTCTAATAAGATTTGTTTCAATGACAGTCACTTTGAGAATGGGTTTTAACACAGGCATTTTCTTGATTTCCAGTTTTTTTAGGAGTGACACTGATGCACTTTAGGCTGCGTTCATACTTTGCGGCAGCGTCAGCGACTAGGAAAGTATAGATATCGATCTAGCGTCTGCCAGCGTCCACCAGCGACCAGCAGCGTCTCGAGGGCTAGGGAAGTATAGGTATCGATCTAGCGTCTACCAGCGTCCACCAGCGACCAGCAGCAGACTGCTGTAGAGAGTAAGGGAGGGTACCGTCTTACTGCTATTAGGTTGGCCGATAAGTAATGGCCGTTTTTTCAATTGAAAAATTTGTTCCAAAAGTGAACTGTTTTGCAAGCAAGCTTAATATCGTTTAATAGCAAACTTCTCGTAGTATTAGAATATCAAAACAGCTTCGGTTGAGGGAAGAGTTTTTGTGGATTTTTCAGTCGTTGAAGTTGAAAGTGA